TCATATTTAACCCTTCAAACTACTGGCCGTTTTTTCTGGTTTACAAGGACTGAAAAATTGATGAATTAATTAGGGAAGCTTCGAGATCTGAAAATCTAGGAACTCCATGTTTTTTATTGTTGTTAATTCGATTTACTAAGAAATTTATACAGCAAAGAGCAGACACACAATTTTCAGACAAATCCAAAAATCCAAAATTCAACAAATCCAAAACTTTTAGGAAAATCTTTGAAAGTTTTGGATTTTTTGGATTTCCAGCAAAATGCAAAAATCAAAAAATCCAAAAATCCAAACCTTTTAGGACAATCTTTGAAAGTTTTGAATTTCTGGAATTTTGGATTTTTGGATTTTTGGATTTCCATTTTTTTTGGTGATTTTTATGAAAAATCCAAAAAACAATTGACATATGTGGATTTTTCACGTATGGCTATTGTATTTCCTAATTTTTTTGGATTTTTCATAAAAAATCAAAAAACAATGAAAATACAATGGTTTTTAGGTTTCCGTTATTGAAAAACCAGATATTTCCATTTTTTGGTTTTATATTGAAAAATCCGAAAAAAGCTTAGGAAATACAATAGTTTTGTACTACCAGATGTGAAAAATCCACATATGTCATTGTTTTTTTTTTAATAAAAATCACAAAAAGCAATGGAAATCCACAAATCCAAAAATCCAAAATTCCAGAAATTCAAAACTTTCAAAGATTTTCCTAAAAGTTTTGAATTTTTGGATTTTTGGATTTTTTAGATTTTCGGATTTTTATGAAAATCGTGTACCTGGTCTCTGCTTTATAAATTCCTTACTACAGTTGATTAAAACTAATACCGAAATCCCCGAAATCCCGAATTACTGGATTCATATATTTGGAAGCTTTACCAGATCGTAAATTCCTTAGTCAGTTTAGTCAAAAACAATATCAAAATCCTACATTCCTAGATTTATGGATTTCGAAGGTCTACTAGATTATAAGCTACTTATCAACTTTAATAGAAAATAGCTGAAAAACATACATTTAGGAATCCTGGTTCTAGCTATTCATTTCAAATAAATTTGATAGGCATATTATAAAGCAGAATGCAGATTTAAACTGCCACAATTTATTCATTTGTTGTTTGATTATGAAGTTTAAGTGTACATGCATTATAGCATCTCTATTTTAAAGCCGTATGCATGTTCGTACTATATGTAACTTAGTATGTATTTTTAATAGTAAAAATTTAGGGAAATATTAAATTCAATACTAGCTTGTAAATTAGTATCTTATCATATTCTACATGGAGGAGGGAAAGGTTAATGCTCATGATAGTAGTCGGATTTTTGGATTTTTGGATTTTTTCAGAAAATTGTGTACCTGGTCTCTGCTTTGTAAATTCCTTATTAGATTTAAGCAAAAATAATACCAAAATCCCGAATTCCTGGATTCCTGTATTTAGGAGCTTTCCCAGATCGTTCATTTCTTATTAAATTCAATTAAAAACAATACCAAAATCCTACCTGGATTTCGAAGCTTTACTAGATTATTTATTACTGATTAATGTTAAGTAAAAAGAATACCTCAAAAAACATGCATTCAGGAATCCTGGTTTTAGCCATTGATTTTAATTGAATTTGATAAGTACATTATAAAGCAGAATGCAGATTCGAAATGCCACAGTTCATGCTTTTATTATTTGGTTATTAACTTTAAGTGTATATGAATTCGAGTATTCATATTTTAAAGCCACATGCATGTTCATACTACATGAACATTAGCATATAATTTTGATAGTAAGATTTTAGGGAAATATTAAATTCAATACACTCCTATAACTGAACTGCTATAAAGCCTTTTGCTTTTGCGGTTGCAGTGATCGATTGAGTGAGAAGCAATCTTTTCAGATATATGCAATCACTTATCTGGCGTGTCTTCTCGCAGGTGGCTTTGTTTTATGTAAATTCCTTTTAAAATCCAATTAGGAATATCCTGCATTGCTGGATTCTTGGATTTTCAAGCTATTTCCGGTCTTATAAATTCCGTATTAAATGTATTCAGAATTAATAGCATAATACTGGATTCCTGTATTCCTGAATTTCTAAAGCTGCTTCCGGCCTTTTAAACTC